TTAAAACCCATTACATCTAGTGGCTTCCTCAGTTTTTCATAATTACATTGTTTAATCTAACAAAACTAGTTTTAACCAACTAGATTGGTTGTTTTTCCAGCCAATCTGTTCTTAGAATATAACAAAAACTATTCAAATCTCCTACAAGCTCCCACATCTTGATTGAACACAGAGGCTGTTTAAATGCCGGCTGAAGTTCCAGGCGAGCTAAACCACTTCCCGAAGCGGTCACATGGTATGGCTCCCTCCAGTACTTGACACGCCTCGAAGTCTCGGCTCATCTCATAGCATCACTACTTTCTGTTGCTTTTTTTCCTGCTGCTACTGTTCTTTGTTTCCACTTTCATGCATTCCTTCTTCTCCAGTTTGCTTCTGTTACCTTCTTTCTGTTGGTGCTCTTCCAGCTCCAGCTCTTCCTTCAGCCTCTCCTCTGTTCATCTTCTTCCCTCCTTTGTTTGGCATCCTACTGTTTTTTTTGTTTTTTTTTTTTTTGGTGCTCATGATCTCAGGTTTGCCACTCCCTTTTAGCCAGCCACAGCTGAATCCTGATAGTTGGTTTAGTCTGCAGGTGTAGGTCCAACTGGTAGACCAAATGCATAAAATAATAATTCAAAGGACAATAAAAGCATGCTTAAAATAAAAGTAGGATTTATTTTCCATCCTTTGATGTGTGTTTTTTATATGTTAGCTGAGGGACTGTCTCAACCATTCAGCCGTCCCAATGGATGGAGTGACTCTGACCTCAGCGATCCATCGGCGAGGTGTGAATGTGCGATATCTGGGCGCCATACTGATGGAGCTGGACAAGGTGGAGGAGAAGGAGAGACTCAACCATGTAAAGGTAACTAATGGAACAATAAAGCTGTCTAAAGGTCATAACACAACATCTTAAAGCTTAAAGGTTGTTTCTATTTTTATGTGATTTATGTGATTGGTGGATTTTGGATTTACTGACCACCTCTAAACAATGCAATGAAAAAGCTGTTTTTTCTGTTCTGTGTTTCCAAACAGAGATGTAGCCAATCAAGTTCAGGTTAAACGCTTTCCTTTAGGTTTAACTGAGAAACTATGGTCAAAATCACCGTTTGCTTGTTTTCATGTAAAAGAAAACAAAGTGAAAATGTAACTAAGTGCTTGAATACTTTAATCTAATATTTAGGTTTTTATTAAAGCAAAAATATATTCCTAAAGATATCACAAAGAGTCATTTTGTGCGTTTCTTAAAAATGTTCAGTGATTGCTGTGTCCAACTGCACTTGTTTTATTTGCAGTTTAAAAATGGTAAATGCAAGGAAAAAAAAATTATTTTAAGGCTAGAAGAACAAGACAACATTTAGGTTTAAATTTAAGGATTACATTTACTGAAATGAAAAGGCCACAGTTGATTGGATGTACAAATAACCAGTCATATCTTCCAACAGAGAATTTCCATCAGTGAAGTCATCATCAGAAGTGCAAAACACATCTTCAGGACCTACCTCAAGGTACGCAGTGAAACGATTCCAAAACAAAAGTAGAAATCTTTAGTCTATGGTTTATTCATTTATGTTATTCTGTCAGGGTGTGGAGCCTGCAGCTTTTTCTGTAGCTGTCAGTCACTTCTTAAACTGCCTCCTGAGTTCGTCCTCTTCTGCACCTGAGTCCTGCACAGAAGAGCTCCCATCCCGTCGCAGGAGTCGCCGGCGGAGAAGCCAGAGCAACAGAGCCAACTTTTCAGCAAAGACCATGTGGGCAAGACTGACCTCTGATGAGTTATGGAGCAGAATCAAGAATGAGGCGCAAGATTATTACCACTACACTTTTAAAAGGTGCATGTGAGTCTGTGCATGTGTGTCAGAGTGCATTTTTGGCAGGACTTTACACTCTCTCAATCTTCTCAATCAGTGAAAGTTTAGACGAAGTAATAGAAAAACACAACCTTCAGAGAATCTCACTTTTGAGAGAGATGGCCATCAAGACTGGCATTCAGGTAAGAATATTTTTCTTTTACCTTCTCCATATTGATTGTTTTCATTTTCAGGTATTTTAGACTGAATAACATTTTTTTCCATTCTAAGAACAATATAGAAATACATTCCATCATTACAGGGATCTCTGTATATGGTTCAAGACTGCCTGGTAGTTTCTCCATTATTAGTATAAGTGAAAACTTATTTGGGCTGAACTATTCATGAAAAAAATCTAAATGGAATTGTTCTCGTTGATATTGCAAGTTTAACTTCAGTTTCTGATTTTTTCAAATTAACTTTGAGTGGAATATTGTGCAGTTATATTTTAGAAACATGACAGAAATTCCCTTATCAAAACATTAAAAGTTAATACTTTTGATAAAATAGGAAAACTAAAGGTAAGATTGAGCCCACTTGTAAATACATTTAATAAATGGAACACTGCAAAAAATGTAAATCTCACTAAGTCATTTTTTTTTCTTAAAATAAGTGCATTTTTTATTCAATTAGGGAGGTAAGTGAGTGATTTTGCCAGTTGAACTAGACAATTTACATTTAAAATAAGAAAAAACAACTGCATCTTACTTTAAGATTAAAAATACGAATTCCATTGGCAAATCATCTTATTTACCTGCTCTAATTAAGCCTAAATACACTTAATTTAAGACATTTTTACTCATTTTTAAATCATTTTTGCAGTGAATGCATTGTATTCATTAGAATTTCCTCTGTCCCTGTTAAACCCCTCTTGAGTCCTTTTTTATTCAGATAATATGAATGTTGTCCTACACACTTGAATTTCCCTCTGGATGAATAAAGTTGCCTGTATCAATCTATCGATCGTTTTACTTTTATTACCACAACTGCAATAACTGTAAAAATCCAGCATAAAGAGACTTTTCAGGGCCATTTACTATATTCCTTATCCATAAGCACAGAATACCTAAAAAAATTCCTTTAATAATTCCTATATATAAAGATAATGATCAGTAAAACATACAAACCAGGGAATTTATCATGTAATCATATGTGTTGACTGTATTGAAATGTAATTAAGTTGTGCTTATTAAATGTATATTTATCTCTCTGTCATGAGATGAAGAAAACGCTCACATATCATAAAGGATCAGATGGTTTTTCCACTGATCGTTGTATCAGGTCCGCAAGAAAAGCAGCAGGAATCACTTTCTTCTGGACCTATGATTTAACTGTGTGACCTTAGCTAATGTCTTGAATAACAAGTACAGAGTTTTTATGTGCTTCTCCTGTTCATCCAGTTCATGTAGCCAGTTCAGCTTTTTATTTCTCTTTTCTCACTAAGATCCATGTAAATACAAATCTCATATTCACAGCACAAAGCGCAACTTTATAGGTTGAAAGAAGAATGTTTGGAACCTCCTGGAGGTTTTATTCCCCTGAAATTATCTGCTGTGATGTTACAGGGCCAACAATAAACAGTTTGAATCCAGCGATTCATCAGAAATCTGTCTAGAAATCCGATGACACAGGTAGAGTTCTGATTGCCA